AATAAAAATACTTCTGGCCAACACAACTATGCCCCAGCTCAATATCACGATAAAGGTTGTGGCACAATTGACTGGGCCATTCAATCGCAGCATGATCCTTGTTCCAGTATACATGCGTAGGATTAGAATAGAGTTTTTGACAATGAGAGCTGTTTGAGAAACATTCATGCCATTTTGCAGTTTTTTCTTCCTCTGTAAGAGATCATTGTATGTTTGCATGGCTGAATTCCCCACCGATTTTTTTAGTTATTTGCTTCGTGATGTTGTCAGGTGATGCTACAGTTATTAAATGAAGGCTTTATTCAATCGAAGCAACAATGCCATGGGTCTGCCATGTCTGATTTTCAATTCTTTCAGCTTATAAACAAAGAAAACAAAACAAAGAAAAAACAAAAAATACATGAAAAAGCACCATATTTAAAAATGGATCTTAATATATATTATACCTTATATACATCCTATTTTTTCTGTTTTTACTTGAAAATGCCAATAGATGGAACTTAGAAACATTTAAGTTCAGTTGAGAGGAAATGTGCAAAGTTGAGTTCATTGCAAAACAGTATGCATGTGTTCTTACCATTTCCATTTTCAGCTGTGATTGATGCAGACAGGAAATTGGTTTTATAAGATTATCTTGATTCCGAAATCGCGTATGGAAAGTAATAAGTGGCGAATTCAGAGAAAATCACCCTACTCACACATCACACCAGGGCTACAGCAGACAACTAAAAACTCTAATCTGTGGTGGATGAATGCAGACTCTGTATAGCACACAGTCATGGTTGGACATAATCAACAAAGAAAGACAGATTTACAGGTGGCTCACAATATGTTTTCTCTTTTCATCAACAGAGTCTGGAAGCCTATGAGACCATTTTGTAGTAGAAAATCAGAACAATCTCTAAATATTTGCTGTTGTCTTTTTAGGTCTCAGAGTGGTCTTCCGCTGCCAGTTTTAATAGGTGCACAGCTGCAGGCATTTAAAGGCACCAGAATGACTTTGAATAAGATTATATTCTAGACGGAGAAGAAATTAAAAATAAAATTTACCAATGAATAATGTTAGGAAAAATCCTTATCATACAGATAAAGCTCTGATAACCTGTCCATCTTACTATATAGTAATTATGCAGTTATGTTAACCTCATATCATGTTTATATAGCCACAAATGCATATCTACATGGTCTGATGAATGCATCAAGTGTGCATATTTTCACTGCAATGTCTCCCTTTCTGATAGCAGTTTGTATAGCAGAAAGGTGTACATGTATTTTTTTTTTGCATTGTTCGTGCGTCTTCCAGATCTCACATCACATCATGTAAGCAACATCAGAAACTTTGGACTTGTCTGCACAGTCACCCATTTTATGTAAAATAATCCAAGCAATTGATAACCTGACACCAATCGTTCATTTATAACCCACAATTATAAGTCTTGTTGTATAGTAAGAATTTCAGGGAGACGGAGCAGCTTAATTTCAGCAGTAAGTGATAACAGAGGCCCAGAGGCACGCTGCTAAGGGAAATTAAAGGGGAAGAAAAGAAAAAAAAGGTTAATAATGCTCATCAGAGTTTACACATTCACACACAGCACACCTCCTCAAGTAAATACACTTAAATAGACATTTGCAGGCCCACAGGCAGTAGAACCGGTCCTTGAATATCAACACATTTAGTCTTACAGACACACATTCATACAAATGTCAGACATTTTCTTTTTTGCATTAAGTGGATCTATCAGGTCAGCAGCCACTGGATTTTAATTTGGAATTAATTAATGGTTGTAATATTCAAAGAAGTGGAATATATATAGAATAAGTATAAGTATGTTCAAGTAATGTTTATAGAAGTTTACATCTGGATGTATGTCTGTCAGTGGTGCAACAAGTATAACATCTCAATGCGGTAGCAAATAAATATGTCCACTGTGACATTTTTCAGAATGCCATTTGGGTACATTTCCTCTATCAGGGTAAGATATATGCACACAAACACATCTTTTGAAAAAGGCGTTCTATTTTCAGGAGCTACTCCTGCACTTGTGGAGCTGTTTTCGTTCCATTCATAGCCTCTAGTATGATATTAAAAATATATATGAAGACTTGCTCACCTTTCAACTCATGGTCACTTAATCTTGCTTTATGTTTTCAAGTTTCTCAGTTAAATATAATAACTCTTAAAAATAATACTTTAAAGGCTATATCATATCGTTGAGAGCTTTGTCATGTGTGGGTGCTGCATATATTGAAAATAGAACATGCATGAAAGAGCACAGCAAACAGTGGATATTTTTGGGAATCAGCAACTGCAAACAGTAAGAGTTTGGAAATGTTAAAACTTTCTGTTTTGTCGAAATGGGCAGCACTTTTTGTCCCCCCTACTATTTCTGCACATGAATTTTAGACGTTTTCTGGACTTCCTGTCAGATTTTTCACTCTGCTCTTTCAGCATTCTCTTCACCACTGACCTCTGCACTTCTCTTTCTGTCATTGTCAACTGTATTTTTCTTAAATTTTCATTCCATTTTCCTTCCGGCTTCCAAGCTGCCGTTTTTTTTCTTTCATTCAGCCTTCAAGCTTCTTCAAGTTAAAAAAAGAACAACCAAAAGAAAAAGAAAATATACTATTTTCTGTGACTGTTACAGAGTCTGTGAGACATTTATACATGCATTTGTATTTATTGTACATCATTCTCATTCTACGAGAAGAGAAAGAGAGGGAAAACGTGTCTGGGTGGAAATGTCAAATGGTCCACAGGAAAACTAATCAAAGAATCCTGGCCTTCAGCAGCAGCACTGCCACAGGCCTGGTCTGTGTGAAAAGCTCTTCTGTCTCAACAGAATGTTATAAAGGGAGGTCAAATGCAGAGGGGATCTGTTGTGTAAAGCTGTGCTGTGCAGTTTCAGAATAGAAAATGAAAGTGTAAAATGCCAGAAGGGATCGCTGTATGCACCGGACAAATGAAGTAGGCTCCTTTTCTTGAAGACAGAGAAAGTCTGAGGTTATCCTATCATACCGCAACCTTTACAGTATCCTGAATATATACTTTTGTGAAAGGAACAACTGAAAGTAATTTAAACTTTTCTTTGAGACAATTTTCTTTTACATGTTGTCTTTTGCCCCATTTTATAGATCAAATTTTGATTAATGCTTGTGTTGATACAGCCATAATGGGTTGATCGTGTGAATAGCTACTGTATAAAATACTGTAGGCTGGAAAGATCTAAAATTTGAATATTTAAGCTGAATACTGCACACTCCATACTACAATGAATTTGTTTACCGACATATATATTATAATGGCGAATATTTTTGGCATTACTTTAACATATAGGGTTAGATAATATGGTTGATATTAATTTCATAATCATTTCCATCCATCAGAAGCCAAGAGATCAACATTAAGTAATTACCAGACAGCCACGTGGGACTTTAACAGCTCTTATAAAAGTGGAAGTTAAATATCTGCTCTTCAGCTGATTTATCAAGCTAAGTGTGGATACGTCAGTGTCCAGCCTCGCAGCCTTACAGGATGTTGTGGTATTAAATGGCAATTCTAGTGGGCTAACCTCATGGATTCTTCAATATGAGATGCCATTATAGATTATCTGGACAGCTGGGAAGCTGATGGCTGAGGCTTAATACCAAAATCATGTTGTTATTTTTGTATTTATATTTTTTTAAAGCCTATATTGACAAAATAGTACAAAATGCAGAACTTTCTATTTAGTTTTTTTGTGCTGTCAGACAAAGTGTAATGTTTGTTCCATGTCTGCTAAAACTGGTGTTTTCTTCCTTCTGTCTGCAGTGCATCATTTATTTATGACTTACATCAAATGCATCAATGAATACAGGTCCACAGGACATTAAACCTATCATTCCACAGCAGCTGTGTGGCTCTTTATACTGCAGATGCGTGTCATTTAGTTTGTTTTTTTTCCATGGCGAAAAATAGCTGACGGTGTGAAATTATTTAAAAAATACTGTACTAACATTTGAATCTATGATTCAGGCAATTGACTGTCAAGCCTATCACAACCATGTTCAGTGTTCATACAAGTTCTTAGAAATTATTTACTAGATTTAGTATGAGGGGTTGCTCGCCATAAGGGAGGGGACAATTAATCAGCTTGTGTGAAATGCATCGGACACATTTGGTTTGACATTTGAGGGCAATGACTTGTTCTTCTTTCCTGAGGCAGTACACTTAGCCTTCTGTTTTGCCTTGGCCTTATACTCCCTCTTCACGTTTTCCTTTTTTTGCACGATAATGAATGAAGGAAGTATTCTTCATATGTGTTTAGCAGTGCCTGGAGACTTGTGTTGGCCCATGGTCCCTTAATTATTAATTTGACGTTATGCACCAACCGTTTGATCATCCACAAATATCTGTATGATTCAGATTTAACGAGTTCCCCAGGAGACTCTGTTTTTTTTTCTCTTTTTCTCTCTTCACCACCCGATTTGTTGTCATAAACTAACTGCAACCCAGGCATGAGTGAAACTTTTGATGGAGTTTCACTGAAGGGTTTTAATTCTATGAGTCAGTACAATTTCTAGTGTGTGTAGTCAAACCAGTGGTTTTGGCAATGATCAAAAGTAAAAACTCACTTTTACTGGTTTATCCTCTTAAAGACCTGCCCCAAAGTCTTTTACTCCTCTGCGCTGATGGTATGTGTGTATCCCTGTGGAGTGATATCTTTAAGCTTCTTATCATCAGCATTTTGACACAGTATTAACATAAAAATGTACTGCCTTACAGAGCACTTATAGAGTGTTGATACGGCTGTGAGGTGTACAGTGCAAAATGAAATGGACTCAGATAAGAACTGTCTGTGTGGATCCATGCACATGGACTCGGTTGGCATTTAGAAGCATGTCCTTTCAAAAATGTAATTAAAGTAACTGAGTAAGTGCCAGTGGTGCAATGTTTGTCTCATGGTCTGGACTAATATGTCTGTTTTTCTCTCTCTATCTCTCTGTTTCTTTACTCTTCAGCACCACCGACTTTCACTAAAACTCCCGCTGACCAGATTGGTGTGTCAGGGGGTGTGGTGTCCTTTGTCTGCCAGGCGACAGGCGACCCCAAGCCAAGGGTTAGTTGGAACAAGAAAGGGAAGAAGGTTAACTCTCAACGTATAGAGGTGAGTAAAGCCTGCCACTCTTTGGTGCTATTAGTAGGCATGACGCAATGACTCACAGACAAAAAAGTCACATTAATATGAATGAAAATAATGTTCCTTTTCTCAAACAGGTCTAGAATATAGAGAGTACTTATTGGTTGCTTAAATGCATTAATGCATTCATTTTGAAAAACTACAATCGCAGAGAGGGACATAAAGCACTAGGGTACCTGTCTAGCTAATCCACAATGCGTTTTTGTTCAGAGCCAGAGTCACGTGACTGAAACCAGCTATAATAAGTGAGAGGCGCTCGCTACGTAATTTGCTGTCTTGTTTGAGGATTAATGACATTCTCACACTAATGATTCAATGCAGTTTGTCATTTCTTTTATATTACAAACCTCATCACCTGAGTGGAAGTTATGTTGTCATTACTTCTTGATGCACGACGGCTACCGTAGTTGCAAGACCCGTTTGAAAATGCGAGGCACTAGAGAGCAAGATTTGTTAGAATGCAAAATATGATTTCACCTTTAGATGGGAGAAATTCCTACAACGTGTACCTTTAAATATACTATTGTTAGAAGATAAAAATGGTTTTGGACTGCTTTTTTTTGTTTCATTTTTACAGTTTCAAACAAATAAATTGTACTAATATTAAATCGACATTAAGAAGAATATAGTTTAATAAAGCAAGTAACAGGCTGAGTTTAATATTATGCCAAAATTACCCCATATTAAACTTTTTTATTTTTTATATTTGTAATTTTCTTGTTGCTTGAGGACATGACCACTGCGACCTGTCTTGATTCTGCCAAAACCCCTCACAGCCAAAATTTCATTAGCTCTTGTATTGCAGTTTTCACAGATTGATGTGGATACTATCAGCCAGGCTTTTGACCATCTGACTTATTTGTCTTAAAAACAATCTACCATTAAGTCTGCCGTTAGCTACAGCTGCCCGCTAATGAAATGCACAGCCCTCCTATTCCTCCGTCCTTTTTGCACTTGACTGACTTTGGTGTTGTCACATTTTTCCGAGGCTGTTTTTCCCCCCCTGCATCCAGCCCTGTCTATGTGATTGTGTTTGTGCGTTATTCATGATGTTTGTTCTTCACTTCTCGGCAGGCATCCCAGATGGCATCTCTAAAAGTCTTGATTGATGCTCAGTGTTTCTTAATTAAAAAGTTGCTTTCGTTAACAGTGACGGCAATGACGGTGCTCAGAGATATACACATACACATGTACACTCGGCAACACGAGGACAACGATGGGGGAGAACGGTGAAAAGCAAAAATAATGACAATAACATCAACAGGGGGAGCTCAGCATCCCCACTGAGGCAAAAAAATAAAAAGACAAGTTCTATTTGTGCATTCTCCTCTTCTGCATACTAAGTGGGGAAACAAAGCCAAGGGCGAAAAGGAGCCCAGTAGAACGGACACTTCTCTTCTCCCGTTTAACATGAAGTAAAGAAAAAAATTAAAAGGGTTTTGAAGTGCTAGTTTTTTTTCCTTTGCTTTTTTTTATCTGTTCTCCCCTCTAGACAGCTGCTTTGATATTGATCATGATGCCATGCTCTGCAGTGTTTTTAGCCTAATTAGCAGCTCAGCCCTGAGATATGCAGCAGTGGAACAGCAGGACTGCTGAAGACTTGTACTTGTGTCTCAAAGTCATGCTTTTACTCAAAGATCGCAGCAGCAAGGGCCTCATTGAGATGGTGTCTGCTTCACTGGGGAGGAAGACTTAACGGAGTCATAGATGGGCAGTGAGACGGACAGTCTGACCATCATCATTTAGCTATCCATCCAAAAGTAAAGCCAAGAAACATGCGTGATAAAGTGCTATATCCAAAGAAATTTGCATTTAGTTCAGGAACGCAAATTATTTGAATTAATGTCTTTTAGCTGTTGTTAACATACTGCTGCAGGATAAAAAAGCTGTTGGGTTATTGGTGCTCAATGGTCAAATGAGGGAAGGGTCATTCAGGCCAGTACCCAGTGTCGGTTAGCACAATGTCGAAACTGTCGCTCACTCAACAACCTAAATATATGTAACCTCTTTTTGGTTTCCATTCACAGACCATTGAGTTTGATGAGGGTGCCGGTGCTGTGCTGAGGATCCAGCCTCTTCGAGCCCCACGTGATGAAAACATCTACGAGTGTGTTGCTGAGAACAGCGAGGGCGAGATTACGGTCAACGCCAAGCTGTCCATCATCCGAGGTGAACCTTACACTATACTCATTTTTATATTTTTCAAATAGTTAATACATTGCATAAATCATCAATCAAAGTATTTGAGTGTTAATCAATTTAAAAAAAAAAAAGAAAATTTGTGTGATGGTATGGGACAATCAAACTTCCCAAAAAAATGTAATTCCTGTGATTGCCAGTGGGTGAGACCCTCTTTTTCTGAGCGTGAATTACACATGCACATGAGATGTTTTGCTGCTACATCAGATCGCAATAGTGACTAATACAGATTTATGACAAATGCAATTCGTCTCTTTTAGTCGTGCTTGACACATTTAGAAATATCTGCATACGTGTTAAATATATCTCATGTCTTCAAAGCTTTCCGTCCCTGAGTACTGCAGGAGCTGGATAAAATGTTCGAATCAATCATCCGCTCAAGACATTTTTACACTCACATTTGTAAAAAGGCAGAAAAATGTTTGTCAAGGTGCGAGGTAGCCTAACACAGACGTCGGTCAGAAGGACAGTGTGAAGGCTGTTAATTACACACCACATTGATGGCACTAATCAACTGTCATTCATGTAATGGCTGAACCACTCGTTGACAAGCCATGGTGTCCCTGAATGAAATAAATTGATTGGCCATCCAAAGACAGTCAGGACACGGCAGCTGACAGATGTGCCTGGGGAGGCTCACACAAACAAACTCGCACAGAAAAGGAGAACGGCTTCATAAAGTAGTATGCAGATAAGTAGTGGATCAATAGTTTATGAGAGCGCTGCTTGAGCAAAGATATTACACTCTTTGGTTTACTTAAGCTCAGAGGTAACTGAGGACGGTGTCACGGGCAAGCAGACACGCGGCCACACACACACGCACGCTTTCTGCTCCCTCATTCCACCTTTGTGCGCCGTGAAAACAAAAGCACACAAAAAGTGTTGTTTCTCCTCTGTTCTGTTCTCTCCTGCTGCCATCTGCCATGTTCCCAAGGCTGGGTGAAGCTGAGCGATTGCTGGCTGGCAGCACACAAGCCAGGCCTTCCTGGCGGTCATATTATCCACAGGCTGTATTTGTGTGTTAGGAGCGTTGGACCACAGACTGGAAGCCCGGTCCAACATTCTGGCTCAGTCATTGTGAGAAACAACTAAGAGTTCTTTGACAGAGGTGTCATGGCGTCAGGTGTGGCGCTTCTGTAAATAGTCAATTAATCAGTCAGGGAAATGGCTGAAAGTGAAACCTGTTCCAATTCATCTCATGAATTTGAGAATTTTTCTTTTTTTATCCTCACATATTTTGATCACAGACTGTATTGCAGTTTCAAATTGATTAAGTGATGAATAAAGTAGTGATTAATAGCAGAAAAGTTAGGTGATCTTCCTAATTTACAAGTCTACGTGATCAATTTTTCGGCATCTCGAATTACTTTTGCTACAAGTGGACAGAAAATTATCGATAATTTTATACTCTTAGCTAAATATTGTGACATGGAAAAAAGTACAGTTTAGGTTGTTATTAGCCTGACCAGAACTTGACCTTTGATCAAACATTTCAATGCAACTAGAAAGCCCGAGTAACTCACCTGAGTAGTTCAGTTGTGCTTCAGATCACAGGTGCTCCATGCAATGTTACATTTTTCCCCACTGTTTTGTTAAAATGGTGAAGTTTATTTATACATTAATACATCCCTTTTCCCAATAGTGTCCCTCATTTGCATATTTTTTTTCTGTCTCTTTTGACAGACGGCTGAATGCATCATGCACAGTGATTGAAAATCTGCGTCGAAATCACTTTAATCATCTGCAAACTGCTCTAAATCATTTACTCACACAATCACAATTCAGCAGAGAATTTCCCACATTAATGTGCATGTGCTCAGACATACTTTTCTACAGAGCCATTTCATGTCATGAAGTTTGTTTCCCCGCTCCCCCCCACAGCCCATGGTGTCGTTTGGTCAGATACTTGGGTCAATAACGCAATTCTGTGCCTTTGCATGTATGCTGAGACAAGAACAGTGGTCCAGTTAAACGGCCAAGTCAACTCTAATTGTAGTTTGACTAAATTATAGAACAACATCCTGTAGTTTTATAGGACCCAGTGAGAACTAGACTTGCAACTTCCCTTATTATCATAAAACAATGGACTACTTCTGCAAACTGAAGGAAGCTCCACAGTGTGCTCAAACATGATGTTTTCTGTTCCAGCAGGCTCCTAATATGCCCTTTTGGTAATTCAGAGATTTAGTTATTGTTTACTATTATGTCCTTACTGCTTTTGAGCTCTTGGAAGCTTTCTGAAAAGGGAGAAACTCGATTTAACGAATTCAGAGTATAATGTAGGAAAGCCCCACTCAGTAGAATATAATTCAATGAAATTGAATGTTCTTGAACAACACAGTTTATATTTTAGAGGTTATTAAGTTCACAGTAGAGTCTAGCTCATTCAGTAAACAAAGTAAAAAACAAACAAAACAAAAAAAAAAACAGTCTGGAAAGTTATTCACTAAAAACAAGTTGATAACCCGCCCCACTGAGAAATGAGGAACAATCACCCAAGATTGTAAGGTTTGTGCATGATATTGCTTTGAGAGAGGGTATTGAACAAATCCAGCATTGTCTATGTGAGCAAAAAATAAATGAAAGCAATTAGAAGTAGGTCAGCCAGGCTTCCTTTAGGCCCAGAGGAGCAGGGCCACTGTCCTGCCCAGGCAATATCCAACACCAAAGGAGGGGGAGGTGCATAGTGACTGTGTGCATTCAAAACATAACCAACTGAAGAGAAGACAGCAGAATTTTAATATTTGCATGATCTATCTACCTATCAAGTAAAATGTCCAATGTCAGTGTCATAAACAGTGAGTGTGGGGGCAGAGTGTGGCAGATATTGATGAAAAAAGCTAATATTTCTGGCAGAAGGAAAAGGAGATAGGAGGTGATGCAGTTGATTGGCAATGTTGAACAGGTGAGGAGCACAATAGCTGAACATGGGCTCCTGGAACATGGGAAGGATTATGGGATATGGGACAAGGCACAAGGGACACATTTTCAGTAAACAGAGAGGATATCGTCTGGGATTTACAGGGGCAGAAAATAGGTTGCCATGATGGGTGACTTGGCCAGAAAGCCATGGGAAACACAATTGAGAAAAAGTTGCTACACACACACGCATATCCACATATAGACAATAACGTTTATGTGTGCAAATATTCATAGCTCACTTCGAATTTCTAAAAAAGTACCTATAAATTGGACTCAGAATAGAGTAAAAGAATTACGTATCAATAATTATGCATGTTGTTTTTATCAAAAGGTTTGCACCTTTCAATATGGTCAATACACAGAGCCACAGTTATACATTAATCATATTTTCGAAAAAAATTACAAATGTCAAAACAAAGTTGTGAACACATGTATTCATGCAAAAAAACAAAAGCCCACTTGTATTCAAACTTTAAAATGCAATCTTAGTTGTCACTTTTGCTTCTTCTCTAAAACCGTGCAATTAGAAAAAAAGTACTTTCTCATCTGTTGTTCCCACTGTGTTTGTGTGCATGTGTTGATGGCACGGGGAGGGTATATTAAGCATTGACTGTGACAACTCCTCGGCTGTTCACTACTGCAGCTGAATACATAAGACTGGGGCCATCTGGCTTCACTAAGACATTCACACAGTCCTCTGGGAGTCCTTGAAGGGGGACCAACGAAAGCACCAAGCATACTCCTGAGATGTGACACAACTTCTAGCTTTCTTTTTTTTTCTTTCCTTTTTTGTCACACTCACATTACTTTCTGACTTTTGGATTTGTTTTCCTTCCAAGCTTTGTACTTATCCTCCTTTGAGTGCTTGTCCTTTAGCTAGCTGCCGTCTTTTGCCCACTGATTGCATGCACTCTGCTTTAGGAATTCTAAGGACTGATTCAATTTGGTCTCATGTTCAATTCTGTTTCTTAATGTTGAGCAAGTTTTAAAAGACCCTCTCGTGTTCACAGTAGCCTCGCATAGATTACAGTCAGATGGAGCTGCTCCTGAGGCAGAAATAATCAAGTTTGTTAAGCTAAGGCATGGTGTTGAAACCAATGAACTCTCTGTTCTCTGTAGTGCTTTCACTGGCGTACACTAGAAACTGTGTTTACACACACACACACACACAAACGCTCACACAGAGCCATGTCCACATCCTCCTTATTTTCATTTGCCACCAACAGCCAGGTGGAAGCAGGTCAACTTATCCTAGTTCTTTGTATCATCATTTCCTTAGTTTATCCAAAACATTTCAAAGCTTAAGTGTATATGCAGTGTACCCATTTAAATTCCCCTTTAACCTTTCATAGCAGAAATTATTTTATGGAATTGGGATTTAGGTCGGCTCAAACTGCGCGCACTGTTTCGTTTGCTGATTATAAAACGGCGGGAAAACTCCAACCATTTTTGCCACAGACCTTCACAGCCCGGGCTCAGCAGGCGCCCGCCACTACCTGGAGACGGGTTTGGCACATTGGCCTGCTGTTTGATCAGCCTGTCTGCAATTTGGCCAGTCTCATGATAGAGCAACTTACTGTGAATTTTAATTAGAGTTTGTACCCTGAATGATTCGTGGTCAAGCTCAGATGGAGCAGAAACTAGCGGCAACATGCTACATGCTGTACATGTGTTATGCACGTACCCCATCTTCACACTGTTTTGTATGAACATGGATGTTCAAATTTACCCATAAGTCTCGATGCCCCAGTATAACATAACTTTTTTTTATTTAGGCTTTAAATCTTCTTGCCCTGGGTACAGCAGGGGAGGTGATGCTCAGGGAAAGAATGATGATAAGATGGAAAACAGAACATTTATCTTCTTTGCAATTCATATCATCAGTATTCCCTCAGCAGGTACCATCATGAGCACACATCTTACTATGATTGGGACTTTGTGCTCGTGGTCCAACGCGATATTACTTTGTGTCTGTCTTCTGTCGTGTTTATTTATGGTCCCTTAAGTTTTTATGACCTATTGAAACTCCATTTTACGTCTCCTCACA